TTATAACAATTTGCTTGAATTTCTGGAAAATTAAGGATGTTAGATTATCAAGACAATTTGTGATGTATGTTTTAGAATTTGTTCCTGTAAATCATTGTGTCCTGTTTTAAGCGATTAATCACATTTCATTTCTGTACCCTGTCTTAATAATCTCCTTCTTCCTTTGTGTAAAGTCCCTCCCTGATATAAAAAACGGACACAGACTGAAGCCCGCATACATTACTGCTTGCAGGGTCATGGAGGGTCTGTCTGCCAGTTTTGCATTTGCTCTGGTCTCCAAGTGTTTCCATTCTCTCTCGCCCCTCCGGACATCCCACCTAGAGTTAGTTCTGTGTGCAATGTCTGCCCCTGAGCAGTCTGTCTGGCAGCTTGTATCAAACCTGTGTGTCTGTCTTCTTTGTGTCTGTTTTCTCTCTCTCTCTCTCTTGATCGTCGCCAGACACCCCACCTTCGTGCACTCACCCCCTTGTCAAGGTCAGACCCCAGCATGTAGCAATTTTAATCTAACAGCTTTTCTGTGGGAGAAAGATGAGACTTTCCTCTCCCTTAAAGATTCACAGCCTCAAAAACCCTATACAGGGATGTTAGAACCCCACGGCATACAACCACCATCATCTGTATATCTATATCTATATTGTTGTTGTTAAGGGCTGTCGAGTTGGTTTCAACCATAGCGACCCTGTACAGGGTTTCTGAGGCTGTAAATCTTTTTCCCCGCAGAGCTGCTGGTAGTTTCGAACTGCTGACCTTACGGTTCGCAGCCCGATTCGCAACCACTATGCTACCAGCGATATCGCTCTCTTTCTATCTCTATCTATCCATCTATCTCTATCTCTATCTCTATTTATGGAGTTCTGGTAGTGTAGTGGTTATGAATCTGGCTGCTAATCTCACGCTCAGCAGTTCAAAACTACCACCTGTTCTGCAGGAGAAAGAGGAGGCTTTCTGCTCCTGTAAAGATTGACAGCTTCAGAAACCCTATGCAGGGTCGCTATGAGTCAGAACCAACTCCACGATACGTAACAACAACAACATATCTATATCTATATACATACACATACACACATAGATAGATGATAGATAGATAGATAGATAGATAGATAGATAGATAGATAGATAGATAGATAGTGCTGCACTGTACAAGTAGCTAATCACAAAATTTGTGGTTCAGACACACCCACCACTCCTTAAAAACCTTGGAAAACAATGTCATTATGAGTTGAAACCAACTTGATAGACTTAACAACAACATATATATGGAGCTCTGTGGCACTGTAGAATAAGCACCTGAATGCTAACCACCAAGTCAGTAGTTAAAGTTCACTAGTCACTCTGAGTGAGAAAGATGACAGTTTCTGCTTCCAAATGCACCAACTATTTGCACAACATATGAATGCCTCAGCAAGTACTTGAGTGGTTGTTTTTAGTGAGGAGATAGTAATAATATTGGTGATAGCCCTCTTTCACAGATTTATATAAGAGATCATGGAATTCTGAGGTTATGATCTAAGCTCATTGTCAAAACTGCTGCACTGAAAACAAATGTCTCTAATTGGATGAAATTA